TGAGGGAAGCGCTTATTCCACTGAGCCATCTCCCTGGCCCCTAGGCTCAGACTTTCAATCCTCCTGCCTCAGCTTCCCAGAGTGCTGGGATTATAGGCATTTACTGCATGGCTTTCTGACTGTTGCAAATAAAGTCTGATAATCTCTTTGGGCATACTGATTTTTTTTTTCATTAGTATTCTACTTTTTCAAAATAAGAACCTAGTGGGCAGCAATGCCGCTGCTCACACATGTACAGGATGAGTGGCTGCCTGCTGCCCTCAGTGCAGGCTGCTCAGACCAGTGGCCTTTGGATGCTGCCTGGTAGGGAGTTTCCCAGGTGGCAGCTGGGTGGGGCTGGAGAGGGGAGTGAAGAGGAGGCAAAGGAGAGGCTGTGTCTGGAGGTGGCTTGATCAATTCCCTTCTAGGGCTGGGCCTGCTCTGGGTTCTTCCACCAGGGCATGGGAACTAGAGTAGGCCTAGGGGAGGCAAAGCCAGGAGCGTGAGTAGAGGAGCTGGAAACTTCTCCCTGATGCAAGATTGGTGTGGAGGCCAGTTCAACAGCTCCCGGTGGTGCCTGCCAGGGTGAGCAAATCCAAACCTCCCTCCCTCCTGGTACACGTCCAGGATGGCTGTTCCCCAGGCCCAAGAGGCGGCACACCCACAACCTAGCCTGGGAGGCAGGGCTTCTCCAGACATCTGGGGAGGTGGGAGAGCCAGAGCCCCGAGCTGGCAGGGGACAGAGGAAGCAAGAAAGCCAGCTCCAGCCTTCTGCAGTGCAGACCACTCTGGAGGTGGCACGCATTGCCCGCCTCTGTGCTGCTTTCAGCCGGTGCCCTTAAAATTAGCACGACCTGGGTTTGCAGGGAAGAGGAGGGAGGCGGCTGTGAAGTGAAGCCAGCCTGAGAACAAAGGAGGCTTTGCAGAGAGGGAGGCACCTTCTACTAAGGCCTCGGGGCCTGGGGAAGTGACTCACTGCGCCCCGGGACGGACCCACCCATGGGGGCTCCTTGGGGCAGAGAATGCAGCTCAGCTGCCCAAGCCTCACAGGGTGGGGTAGGGGTTGTCAGGCTCAGGCAGGGAGTGGGACTTAGGGGGAGAGGCTTTCTCCAGCTTCCCTCTCCCTGGGGACCTGGTGTGTGTCCAGCCCTGGGGCCTCGGTGCTGGCCCAGTGCCTCATTAGGTACTGCCAGGCAGGGCTGCTGCCAGTGCCCGCCACCGCCTCTGCTCAGGGCTGTGGGCGTGGTTCCCTCCAACAACCCGCTCCCAGCAGGGACTAGAGTTTTCCACCTCCCTACATAGCCACGTTCCCCCCGCCCCCCCCCCCCCGTTACGGGGGCGAGGCACCAGTGCCACCCGAAAGTGGCGTCCGGCTGTCCCGGAACGCATGAGATGACAACTTGCTGAGAACTTGGAGAGCCTCGCTGCACGCCCTGGCTTCTCGGGCAGTTGGGCAATTGCACAATCTTCTTTCAGTTATTCTCTCTAGAGTGTGTAGCAACCGGGCGAGAATTCCAGGGCCATGTATTTACTCGTACAAATCTGCCTTCCTGCTGTTTGGCTGCCGGGCCAGGCGCGGCTCTGTGGGCCCGGGGAAATGGGGGTGTGTTCGCGTCCAGGAGGGCGTGGCCCGCGTCCGCAGCCCGCAGCCGAGCAGCCACCCTGCCCTGCTGGTGCAGCCTGCTGGTCCCAAACCGCAGCTTCTTCGGGAGCCCTGGACCAGGGCCAGGACACCGAGGAAGAAGCTCTGGTGACATTCTCGACATGGGCTTTGAGCAGCAGGCTTGGCCTACAGCAATTCCAGCTAGTGACTCTCTTCTTTTCTTTTCTTTTCTTTTCTTTTCTTTTCTTTTCTTTTCTTTTCTTTTCTTTTCTTTTCTTCTTTTCTTTTCTTTTCTTCTTTTCTTTTCTTTTCTTCTTTTCTTTTCTTTTCTTTTCTTTCTTCCTTTCGTGGTATTGGGAATTGGTATTTTGTCCTGAACTATATCCCCAGACTTTTTTATTTTGAGACAGGCTCTTGCTAAGTCACTAGGTTTCCTCACTAGACTGAGGTTGGACTTGTGATCCCCTTGCCTCCCGAGCAGCCAGGATTATAGGTGTGCACTGCCATGCTTGGCACAGCCAGCGATTTTTGTGTAAGGAACGTCCTGGGGTCAGCTTCTGATGGCCCAGCTGTTACTCTTGGGCCATCGCTCTGGGTCAAGGAAAGGCATTGTCCTGCTTGGCCCTGGGGCCAAAGGACGGCTGTCAGGACTAGCTGTCTCAAATGATGGAAATAAAGACAAAACTCCAAATGCAGCTGGCCTTCAGGCCCTGTCCTTTGTGCTTTCCGCAGGGAATGTCCTCGCCTCTTTCTCTGCACCTCTCATTAAAATTTCAGAGATGCCTCCTTCACTATGGAGACACCAGGGTCCAAGCCTGGGAGACTGTTGGTTCCATAAGTAAATCTAAGAATTTAGAGTAATCCATGTTTGGTGTCATAACAAACTTGGAAACTCTGATATGCTTTTTCTCCTGGATAACATTACAGAGCCTCAAGTAAATACTTGAAAGTAAATAATTAGCCTTGTGGACAGTCACCTGCCAAGCCCCTACAGTGGCTGGCACAGGCTGGCCAACCATAACTGGAGCTTGCTCTCTCAGTGCATGGGGGACCCTTGGATAACTGATGCACAAAAAACTGTGGTCACCTCTGTCCACCTTTTCAAGGCATAGTGTTCTGACTTGTTCCAAAGTAACATAAATTCTACCCAATACACCCTTCCTTTGAAGGTGGAGTTGGGAGTAAGAGTGGTGTTGACAGAGACACAGGAGGCTTCATTCTTGTGGGCAAACTGCGACCAATGGGCAGGCATGGCTGGACACATCCTCAGGAGCAGCCTTCCCTCGGCCTGGGCCCCTCCTCACTCTGCCTGGCACTTGGGTCTGAAGAGCTCACCATAGTCAGGTAACCTCCATTTGTTCAGTTTTTGGGCTTGCGGGAAAGGAGCCGCCATCCAGAGCTCCCAAGTAAGACTCAAGGGTTAGCGTAGGAGGGGGTGTGAGGAAAGCTCATAGAGACAGGGTCCTGGACTCACAGAGCGCATGGTGATGAGAACTGAGGCCCCGGCTGAGAGGTCCATGGAGAATGAGGTCAAATCCCTGGATTGATCTCTCTGTGTCTGTGTCTCTGTCTGTCTATGTGTCTGTCTGTCTGTCTGTTCCTCTTTTCTTTCTCAGCACTGGGGATTGAACCCAGGGCCTTTACACTGAACTACACCCCCTTTTTTTGTTAATGAGATAGGGGTCTTGCTAATTTGTTCATTGGCCCAGATTGGGCTCAAACTTGTGACCCTCCTGCTTCAGCTTCCCTCAGTGCTGGAATCACAGGTGTGCACCACTATGCCTGCCTTCAACCCTCACTGGATCTGCATTTTGTTTGGGTCACCTTAGAAAACTGTGATGCTTCTGAGAGAAAGCCATGGCTAGCCTTATTCCTGGCAGGAAGCTGCCTTTAGCTGCCACCAACCCCTTTTTCAAGGTTATCTGTGAAGTCCTCTGGAGAGCATCAGGCTGTCCAGAATCCATTGTCAGAAATGAGTTCCTGCCAGAAGAGAATTCCGGAGGGAGTGTGCCTCTTCCTCCCTGCCCAGTCAATACATTTAACAGTTTTATCTAAATACAGTTATCACGGTATAGTTTCCTTCAAGCAGGTGCCCTTGACCATCTTCCTCAGATCCAGGCAAGGTTATGAAATAAACCAGGGAAATCATCTTGGGCTTTACGTTGGACATTAGAGCTTTATCTTTTTAACTCCTTTGTAGGTTTCCATGGATACCGACAATAAACTTTGTTTGGTCTAATGAGAAGTCTCACACTAATAAAGGCAGGAGTTGCATTCGACAATACACATTAAAATCATTTTCTCCATACTTAACAATTAATTTGAAGGGCATCCATTTGTAGATAATTTAAAGCCTGTGGCAATAAACAGAGCAGGCTTCTCTCCTACATAGGGACCCACATACTTTAGTGTAGCTACCAAGTTAGAGCTCCCACCGGCCCTCGCTCTGCAAGGAGCCTCCTCCTTCAGGTAAGGATCGAGCGGAGCCCAGAAACCCAGATGTGTCTTCATCATGCAGGAGACGAAACTAGTGTTACGTGGCTGCCTTGGCCTTCGCCCGCCTACCTTAAATTCAACTGGTCATGGCCGTCACTCTGTGGCTCGAGGCTAGCAGCTGCTTTCTCTGGCTGTCAATTGTCCTTCCAGCTCAATCTCCAAATGAAAACTAGTCTACTTCCAACTGAAAGCCCCTTGGCAGCTCCCATTTTTGGATGTTTTATCTTGTCACCTATCATGTGTGTCTTAGTGTATCTTCCTGGGCTGGTACATCCATTCACCTCTACCCTGCCAGAAGAGAGGTCCGGGCTAGATGGAATGAGGCCGTCTTGGCAGACAGCATTCTAAGGGGAACACAAATCTGCCTCTTGGGCAGAGAGGGAGGGCAGGTTCCCCTGCACTTGGCCAGCAATGAGTCTCCTCTTGGTCAAGGGTTTAATGGACCTACTTTTGTTTCTCTAGTGCTCACATGTGGGCTTTTTCTGCCCCCTTCTTAAATATATTAGTGGCTTGACTCACACATGGATAAAACTAGCACAGTGCCAAAGGTCCCCTACAAGCTGAGCCCTGGAATCCAGGCCTGGGGCTTTGGGAGAGATGCAGAAGTCCATGCCCATTGGCCTCACTCTTGGGCCAGACAGCAGGGTACATGGCAGCGTTGTGGCCATGCAGCTGCTCAAGATCCATCCCTCGTCAACGCTCTCAGGTCAGGAAGTTACGGGACTCAGACTTGGGTGGAGCCAAGTCCTACATCATCACACAATTGTGCCAGGGGACCTGAGGGCTGCCTCCGTGGACTAAAAGCAAAGCGCTAGAGCTCTGTGTCATTTATAAAATAGCCTTTATTTATTCTAAGGAACATAGATAGTAGCTTAAAAAAACACGTACACACTTCTTAAAAGCTATTATTCATGTTGTGACCTTGCTTGGAGCCCATGGGATCAGGACAGTGGGGAAGCTGCCTGCTGTGGCTTTGCCTGCTCTCTGCACTGACAGAGGTTCGGTGGGGGGAAAAAGCGCTGGCCCAGCTCTCCGTCCAGTTGCTTATCATCAAGAATAGTTTTGGGGTTTATGGAAGAACAGAAGTAACACCGATACTACTAGTATGTTATCAAAAGATGATTTTATACTCATCCCAGGGAATGTAAAACTGCTTTAAAGAATGGATATTTTGTAGCTACTGTTTATGGAGATTAGGTGTATTAGAATAGTAGCATTAGAGGAAATTAGGATTTCCCTACACTTTCAGAAATTCCCCAGTTGATGTAAAATCCTTTTCAATTTTACTTAAAAAGAAATCATCACATTTAGTAGTTACCACACATACACCCCCTTCTTTCAGCGCAAAAAGATGGTTTGAGAATGGTAGAGAATCTTGAACCATCAGCACCCGCACTATTACGCCAGAAAAAAATCTATAAACATTCAGAGCATTGAGCTGTTTTCACAAGACTTCCTTTCTAATAAACACAACACTTTCTCCTCCTCTCAGATGTGAGCCTGATGCCAGATGCAGAGGTGCCAACTGTGGGCGCATTGCTGGGCAGAGGAGAAGCCTAGCGAGTTTGTCCAGCAAATTAGATTGCACAGTGGGCTGGCGTCTGCTTTGCAGCCTTGGCCGGGAAGCTGCTGCTCCGTGCTCCCATGGCCTGAGGCAGGTGGAGGCTGGTGGCCCTGGGCAGGTGTGTAAAAGGGTCCATGTGGGTTAGAACACAGCCTGGTAGAAATACAGGCTTGTTAAAATTGGGGGTGTATGTGACTTGCTGGCTCCCTCAGCAAGAGTTGCGTGGAGACCCTGTTTGCATGGCTCATCTTCAGCTGGCCCTATGGCTCGTCCTGCACACCGGCCTAGGCCACAGCCTGCCACCTTCTCATACCATTGTGTGGGAGTCTAAAGAGAACGTCACCTGCAACCAAATGATGGGGAGAGAGAAAGCCTCTCACATTTAAGACTGGGTTTCAAAGCCCCCGGAAACCTGCCTGTCTGCCCGTTTGCATCTGGTTAGGGACCGTGAATCAGAATTCAGAATTTGTGCTGCCCAGAGGGGACAGGCAGAAGCCGTGAAGAAATACCCAAATGCAATAAATAACATGGAGCTCAGGCCCCTGGCCCTGCCCCTCCCCCAGCCAGTGCTGCCGCTTGCTCCTGGCTTTGAACTGAGGGAACCAAGGGAGGAATTCCACCCCCAAACCTCCCTGCACATCCAATGTGGGCGGGCAACCAGCTGCTGCTGCTTCCGCACAGGACAGAGCCTCAGTCTTTTGCTTCGTAGCATTGTTTATGGCATGAACGAGGAATGTAATGTGTTTACACAAACACATGACAATTGTACATCAGCATCTTTACAATATTAAAGGAGTCATATACAAGTCTACAGGCATTATACACAGGGTGCTGGCCCAGGCACCCCACCCACCAGTCCTCCGCATTTTCTCCAGGGGGGTAGGGGGTAGCATGTGGGGAACTATGACAAGGCCCAAGGTGTCCATCTCTGGGCTTGCTGTCTGGGGGTGGGTCTGAGGATCCCCGCAGGGCTGTCCTTGCTGGAATCCAGGGTCTAGAGCATGAGGTATGCCTGTGTCCAGTCTCACCACCAAGCTAGTAGAACACGTTTAGCTAAAACTCAGTGTGAATATTAGTGTGGGAAAAACGAGCTGGGGGTGGCTCCCTGAGCTGGGGACCCAGAGGATGCTGCTGACATACAGGCCTCTTCATGGGGAGGCCCATTCCTGAGGTAAGGTGCAGCCCCCACAGCTGGTCTTGTGGGGACAGACTTCTCTAGGGGCCCAGGAGTGAGCGCACATGCACGCACACACACACACACACACGCACGCACGCACGCACACACACACAGACTGGGAGCTCCTGTGCCAGAGCAGGTCAGGTGACCTGCTGAGCACAGCCTGAGCCCTGGAAGGCAGCAAAGAGAGTCTGAGAGGGTTATGCGAGCCATCCTCACCCCCTTCCCCCCTGCAGCCCTGCCCCCTGAGGCCTCTGCCTCAGCTCCGAAGCACTGTCACACCCACACACACCCCCAGCTCCCCACAGCTCATCCACGTGGGCCTGCTGCATGTCTGAGAACTGAGCACCAGATGAAGAAGCGTTGGTCCTTGGAAGCCTTGCTGCCTTGCGCAGTGACGGTTACTTCCGTTTTAAATACTGTAGAAAAATAAGCCATCTCTGACACAAGGAGACCCGCCAAGTGTCCACCACACAGAGGAGACACAGCTGCTCCGGAGAGCTGGGGATGCCTCTGCTCACCGTGGCTCGGCAAGCAGAGCCCTCTGCACCTGACCACAGGGCCAAGCAGGGAGTGGGGGAGCTGGCAGTGGAGTTCTGGCCACGGCATCTCTGGCCACAACAGTCTTTCAGTGGGCACGCCGCCAGCTTCCCATATTCTGCTGCCATGACGCCTGAGGCGCTGGTGCCCCTGGGCCGACTTCAGACTCTACAGCCCCAACCTCAGTCTCAAGCCCACTGCTAAGCTTGCACAGTCAGAACTCCCCAGCACAGTTTCCAGGTTTCTGGGAGTGACCCCTGGGTGAGGGGCCTCAGGTGGGCACTGAGGCAGGGCCTAGTCCAGGGGCTCCTGCTTTATCCGGACGGCAGTGGGTGTGGGCTGTGGTCGCCGCTCCTCCCGGCAAAGCACATACTCGCTGAACTGGGAGGAGTCCACGCCACCTCCGCAGGACGCAGCCACGCTGAAGCCCCTCTGGAAGAGCCTTTCCAGGACCTGCCAAGGAAGAAAGTGGGATCAGCAGTGTCCAGCTGCCTGGCCTGGCTGGTGGTGGCTGGGCCCTGGCCAGAGCTAGCTACCTTACGCTGCTAGTCTCACTCACTGACAAAGGTCCCTGCTCCCCCCCAGCTGGGGTCTACCACAGGACAGACAGGTTCAGCCGGACCCATGTGCAGCCCGACCCAGGGGCCCCCTGAGTTATTGGACCTGGGTGTGCTATTCCACCTGGGCTACCACCCTGCTGCCCTTAGGGTACACAGCCTCCGGATTTAGAGAAGCAAAAAGAGCCTTTGGGCTGCCTCTCTCTTCTCTAGGGCGTAACCAGCACACACATGGCCCCAGGCACCCTATCAGTCTCTGGTCACAATAATGGAAAGCCCCTGCCCCCAGCCTCTGGGCAGCCACCTGCTTCCCTGAGCTGAGAGTCCCAGATGCTTTCAGGCCCGGGGGGCCTCATCAGCTCTAGGAAGCTCAGGGTAGAGAAAAAGGGGTTTTGTCCTCCAAGCACGAGTCTCTGCAGGCCTCCCAGAAGGTGTGCTTGCGCCTCTGCAAGGGTAGGCTCTGGTCACCGTGTCTGACATCTGTATCTTCCAACTAGCAAGTGCCAACCCACAGTCAACGGAATGTGTGCAAAGGGGCCTTTTCCCCACAGTTCATTCTAACCAGATCCCAAAAATATAAGTCCGCCTGTGCCTACGGTGGCATATGCCTGGAATCCCAGAGCTCTGGGAGGCTGGGACAAGTGGATGAAAAGTTCAAGTCCAGCCTGAGCAATTTAGTGAGACCCTGTCCCAAAATAAAAAATAAAAAAGTTCTGGGGACATCGCTTAGTGCAAGCCCCGATACAAGGAAAAGATGAAAAAGTTTCCCATTGCTGCTTAGAAACTAGAGCGCCATTCCATGTGAGCGTCTGAATCCTCTGACTCATCCAGGAAAGCCCAGGCCAGAAATGCTCTAGGCAGTGGTTGAGTGCCTGTGGCCCCAGGTCCGCAGGGTGAGGAAGGGGCTCCAGGCCTCTGTCCCACCTCTCCTGGTGCCTGAGTTTAATTTGAATCCAAAATCAGACTCTGGGTGTCAAAGAAGCACACTTGGTTGAAAAATACCCTGGGCCATTTTTATAGAACATCCTTTTGGGAAAAAAGAAAAAGTACAGATCAATTTTTTTAAGTCCATCCCCCAGGCTCCATCATTTAATTATGAGCGGGACATAAATTATGCATCGACACATTGTTGCCTTTTCTGTAAGATGGCACCGAGGGCTTCGCCATTTCAGGGATGGTGCCTCCCTCCTGTGTGCTCCCTCTGTGCTCCGAGGTGCGGCAGGAGACGCAGTACGCGGTACGCGGGGCCCACAGCCCTCACCTGCACAGAGTTGAGCCGGCAGTAACCATTGAGAGGGAAGCGGATGACATGCGTGGGGTCCTGGTTCCAGCCAGCGTTGACCGAGTTGCACATGACGTCTCCAGTCTCGGGGAAAACCTCTTCGATGAGGGCCTTCTCACCACTGAGCGCAATGCGCTCACCCAAGTCCGGTGTGACTCGCACCACCAGGCAGTCACAGGCCCGACTGCGACGTCGCTGCTCCTGCTCCTGCTGCCAGCGTTCCAGCTCCCGTACCATGGGCTGCAGCTGGTAGTACCGAGCCTCCTCATACAGTAGGCTGAAGTCCTGTAGACACGTGGATGTGAGGTTAAGGAAGGTGGTCTGTCCTCTCCACTGGGGTGGGGATATCCCCTTTCTGCAGGAACTGTGACCCATGTAAACTGGGATGGCTGTCCCCATTGTACAGATGAGCAAATGAGGCTCAGCAGGAGGTGTGCAAGTCTGAGGAATCTAGCTGCTGTCTGCTGTGCACAGGCCCTTCCATCTGGCCCTCAGCACTGGGTGGCTTCATGCTCCTGGGACAGAAGCTTATCGCAAAGACCAGGGAGCTACACTCCAGGACCAAGAGGCTGTGCCTATGCCTGGGACCTGCTGCCTTCTTAGAATCCTACCCAGATAAGACATTCAACTGGGCATTCAGCCTTCACCCACCCTAAAAGAGCTCATAGCCCAGAATGAGACAAAAAAAAAAAAAAAAAAAACGTCTGTAGCTCTCCATGAGTTGGAATTCAAGTATCACTTACCAGTCCCAAGATCTGTGAAACTCATTGTACCTTCCCTGAGCCTATTTCCTCCTCTACGGAACGATATAAACATCCAACTCAGAGGAGAGTGAGGATTAAAGAACAAGACCCGTCCAGAGCCTGGCCTTGTGCCTTCCCAAGGAAGCACAGAGTATGACAAGGTATCTTAGGAAGCTACCTCTCAGCAGGCAGCCCACTCCTAGGCTGTGCAGGATCACATAAACTGTTCCTCAGCTCTGATACTGCCCCCCCCCCAAATACACAGTGACTCATATCAGCTCCAGCCCTGAGTGGCCTGGGCCTGTGACTCATGCCACTCTTTGGGGGTCAACAACCAGGGTTGGCTGGGAAGCCTGAGGGACCCTGGAGGAAAACCAAGGAAGCCCAATCCCAAAATCAAGGGTCATAAGTCCCTTCTACATGTTTTCCCTTCCCTGTGGAACTGCCCCAAGGGAGGCTCAAGCCCTCCTCTTCTGGGCCCACCATCAGGCAGGGAGTACTCCTGACTACGCAGAGATCTCCCAGGGCCATCACTCACCAGCTCCTAGAATTTTACATGACATCTGTACACCAAACTACTCCATTTCTCCTTACAACAGGGTCACCTCCAGGTGATCCTCCACCAGCTTGTCCATGAAGGAGTAGGACACCAAATGCCCCCAGCCTCTTCCATTTGACTCAGGCCTCAAGGCAAAAGCTGAAGCATCCTCCCCACCCTACTTCCCTGCCAATCCGCACCTACATCCTCTCCCTAAAAGCAAGTCCCTGCCTTGAAGGGGCCCATTCCATAACTGGCTTCCTGCTCACACCTCCTACCCTACCCACATCCTTGTCTACCCCAGATCCAGGGCAATCTTTCCTACCAGCAAATCTCATTATTCTTACCCTCCTCACAGCCCTCCCAATGCCTGCAGGGTAAAATGCTGAGCCTCTCACCGAGGTCTTGATATCAAACAGCAGCTTCCCTGCCTGCTGGCCCATTCCTGGCTCACAAGACCCCAGGCCTGACACCTCTTCAGTGTGGGAAGGAACCAAGCCTGTGGCTACCACCTTCTCCCCAAGGCTCATACCACTGGCTGCCTTGTTCCTCTGTCACCACCCAACAAAACGTCCCTTCTTCCAAACCCTCCCAGCCAGCTTCTCCATTCACTCTCAATTCCTCACTGTTCTCTTAATGAGTGGTCGATTCTTGGTATAATCACGGTCAACACCCATCTTGACACATACCATAAGCATCGTGAGGCAGGACCCATGTGTGTCCTTGTGTAGTCAGCTCAGGATTGGTTGTCAGCACTCAGTAAATGAGTTTAAGGGAAAAAAAAGCTCTGGGGCTATTGGTCCTCTGAGGAAGCAATTAAAAAAGGAAGGACAGACAGGAGCCTGAGTAGCCCCAGCCTGAATTTTCTTCCTCCTATGATTCTTGGTTCTTAGAGGGACTCAGACTAAGGTGGGAGGGAGGAACCAGCTTAGTTACCCAGATAGGCTTACCCTGAGAGCAGGAGTCAATTCTGTTTAAAAGGTATATGTCTGGGCTGGGGAGATAGCTCAGTGGTCTAAGGGACTGCCTTGCAAGCACAAGGACCTGGGTTTGATCCCTGGTACTGCATGCTGTGCCAGCCAGGGAGGCTGAGACAGGAGGATCACTATGAATCTGAGCTGCATAGTAAGACCTTGTACCAAATAATTAAATAATTATAATTAATTTTTTAAAAAGGCGTTTGTTTGGTTCATTAGTTTCCCCCTGCAAATTCCCAATCAGGAATGGATTTGGGAACCCCTAACTTGTGTAACTCTTAACACACAACAGTCTTAGTTATGTTTTGTGCCTAGTTGTCCTTCCAAAGCCTCATGCAGTTCTGGGACAGACTTCTAGGATTTGTGATTAATTCGTGAGCCAGTGCTGGGATTATGGGTCTGAGTGCTCCCCTCGGCCTGGGGCAGGTAGCCTGAATGCCACATAAGGGAGACAGACTTGCTCTCTGTTGCCATTGTTGCCACTGCTCCTCCCTTTTGCTCTTGTTGTTTTTTACCCACTGCCATGAAGTGCTGTCCTCTGCCATGTGCCACTCTGCCTTGGAGCCAGCTAAGTACGGACTGAAACTTCCACAAACTGTGAGCTAAATAAACCTTTCCTTCCTGAATTTTGGGTGTTGAGTACTTTGTCCCAGCAATGAGAGAAAAGTAACCAAGACAATCTTTCAACATGACAAACATTAAACTGGGGTATGTACTGCTGCATAATTGCTGTTACACCCTGATAAATAAGCTAAAAATGTGAGAAAAAAATTAGTTTAGAAAAATTGATGTAGCCCTCGGCTTCATTGGTTAACTTTTTATGGTTGCCATGACAACCGTGGGTCCATTTATTAAGTCACAGCATCCCCTGTGTAATGCCACAGCACAGGTGGCACAGGGGAGCTGCTGGACTTACCTTGAAGTCATCTGGGAGCAGCAGTTTGGACGTCCGTAGAAAGCTCAGGACATAGCGGAAAATCTCCCCATCCCGGTCAATGAAATAATGTTGCTTTAAGCTGTCCAGAACGATGGGTTCAGTGCCATTGAAGAGGCGGCTTATTCTGGGAGAGACAGGCAAGGTGTACGCAGGAAGGAAGGGGCTGGGTCCAACTGCCCTGTCCTCATTAGTGCCCACCCTGCCTCGAAAGACCACACTTGGGCAATGTAGAGACTGCACCAGGGCTGCCAGCTCTCTGCACAAACTGGGCCAGCCTGACCGCCATCATACAGGACACAGGAACAGTCGTGAGCACATGCTTCCTACACACACAATCCACAGTGGGACAGGGACATACCCAGCTGTACACACCAGCCAGCTAGCTGACACGTGTTACACCAAGAAAACTACAGCAAGATATACATGGTGACATAAACCAGTCACGGAGCTGGTACGGGTATCCTCACCAGATAGTCATCCAAAAACCACACGTCGACCACCCAATATCCCAGCCAACAGCCACACACGTGATGAACATAAGTAAATCAGCCAACATAGTCACTGGGGTCACACAACCTTCTCACTCAACTCTTGTCACCAAGTAACAGACACAGCACTCAGGCTATAGACATAGGTCACACGGTCCTCTGCCTTGCAACTCACAGATCTTAGGCAGCCAGACACACACTGAGAAAGGTACACACCAGTTACCACAAGCCACCCAGAGATAGAAAGTCACCAATACCCTGCAGCCACTCAGGGAGACACAGGGGCAGGCGGAAGGTACAGCATACATGCATGAGTGGCACAGTGCACACGCACACACACAGACTAGTGCACTGTGAACACACCAAGCACGTGAGCACAAGCATTCACACATGCCACAGCTTATACATACTTGGTAGGGACCAGGACTAGAAGGGAAGACAGTTGCCAGCACCCTGTCCTTGGAAGGACAGTGTTTCTAACAAATGTAGGGTCTTTAAGAAGCTCTCAGGGACCCCTTGATCCTGGTCTCTACCCATTCCAAGGAGGAGGAACCAAGCCTCAGAGCCAGGGCTCACACATCCTCAAAGCCCAGGTCAGTGAACTCTGGTCCACAGCCCTGCTCTCCCAGGCTGTTTGAAGTCACAGAGGGTTTCTAAGCCAAGATCTTGGCCCAGGAGGGAGTGATGGCACTATCAGACCTTCTCCTTTGGTGACAGGAACACTCACTCACGTGAGGACTGGGGACTACCAGCCTAGCTTGCATAAGTCGGGGCCAAAATGCCCCACTCTACCTGCCGCCCACCCCACAGCCCTCCAGAGATGTTCCCATAGTCCCAGTACCCTACTTCTCCATCTACTCCATGCCGGCTCTCCCAAGGCTCTACCCTACTGCTCTCACTGTGCACACAAGGCACATTAGCTGGACAGAAACTGAGGGGCTCACAGCCTCTATATCCCCCTTAGCACCTAACTACAGCAAACCACGCTCTAGTGGCCTGGCACACTCAAGGGATCAGCCATGGGTATTTTCCCAGTACAGGGTAGCGATGTAGTCACCTGTCCTCATTTAGAGACATACCCAGCCCCCGTGTCAATGGAGCAAGATCAAGGGTGATGCTGCCTTAGGGATGAGCCACACAGGTTGGGCCAGTGGCCAGGTATGGAGAGGCTTACGTTGTTGGAGCCAGAACAGTGACCACCCAGATACTTCTTGGGGCTCCAAAGGCCACTGAACCCATGAGCCTCCCTGGCCTGGTGCAAGTGGTCCCTGAGGACATAGGCCCAGCTGAAAATCTCTGTGGGTTCCATGGTTTACTGCAGCTTTCAAAGTGGCCAATGCCTGACCTTCTAGAACTTAGACATGCAGCTGTCAAGAGTGAGGGCCACCCGGCATCTCTGGAGACAGATACGACTAAGCAAGGCTGCCAGGTGCTGTGGGCAGTGGTAGACAGACATGTGAGAGGCCGTACACAGCCCTGGCAGCAAGAAGTAAGGGCCACAGCCACAGGTGAGTCAGCAAATCTGAAGCCTCAGCCTGCCTGGGAACTCTCCCCACGTTCCTGGCTGAGCTCAAACTCTGTGCAGCAAGCAGTGTGCTTGGTCTGGCTGAGTTCCAAATCCCTCTGCTGTCAGGGCTGGCTGGGGCTCCAGAGTATCCTGCTGGCCTAGAGGACTCTGGATCTACCCATGCCTGACTGGTTCTAGATTATCTCATGGCTCAGGCTCTGTTACAGGAGCAACTGGCAGCCAGGCATCTCCACATAGCACCAAGCTCTTGCATGCCCCAGAATCCGAGCCTACCAAGGATATGGAGAGGCTGAGGGTGGGCTTGAATAACCACCATGAAGGAACCTCCAGTCTCTTGCAAGGTCTTAAAAACAAGCTCCAGCCATGACATCCTGGGTTCTGTTGGCGGCTCTGGGTCTCTGTGGAAACAGCCACAGGCCACTCTTTGAGGGGAGGCTGCACAGTGTGGGGGGCACCAACTTCAGAAGTCCTCTGTGGAATAAGTGGATGAGTTCACATTTCGGCAGCTGGGACCCTCAGGGACAAAAAAGGCACAGTCCCATCACTGGCCTCTGGTGTGAAAAGAAGGCATCAAGTCTTCGTTTTCTTTTTTAAAAGCGCTGGCTCCAATTTCCTGATGTTTCAGAGTAAGGTTTTATTAGTTCTGAAGCTCCCGGCCATTTCCGTTTGCTGCTCTTCACATCTAGGATGGATGTCAATATGGGGCTGTGCTGGGGGGAGCTAGGTGATGTCCAGCAGGCAGGACAAAGGGGAGAGGCAGAGTCCACTGTCAGCACCAGGTAGCTGTGCTGGCTGAGGACCCATTACTCCTCCTGGGGACGTGCCACCTGGCCCTCAGCACTCAAGCTGCTTGGATGAGTGAAGAACAAGAGGCTGAGAACAACACTGTGGGCACAGGGACCTAATGGGTGGGTCCTCTAGCTCTCACAGTACTGCCTGGGGGTGGCAGTAGGGGACAATGACATCCACAAACCCTCTGGGTGAAGGATTAATCTATTTTTCCAGAACTGTTGAAAAATAGTTTTAAATTATAGCAACCTACTAAAAGAAGAATAAGAGAGATCCAAGAGGCCCTGTCTAGCACAGCTCTACAGTCCACTTCTCAGACCCCAGATAACCCCTGTCCTCTGACTGTCCCATAGGTCAACAAAGCCCCTAGCCTCTAGGCCAGAGCTGTAGGCTCTATAATGAAGCAGAAGCAATCCAAGCAGAACAACAGATTCATCTGGAGCTCTAGCCCTGGGAAAGAATGCGGACTGCCAGCCCCTCTGGGCACAGCCTGCCTACTGAGCTCCCACTTGACAGATCATGGGGCCATGGGAGGCTTAGTTTCCCAGCAAGACCACATATTCCACTGCAAAGCAGGGTAAGGATGAGCCACACCGTGGCCTGGGAGGGAAACGCCAACCCACCCCTCCCCATGCCCAGGCAGCTGCCCTGAGACAAAATAAGCAGGAGGCCCTCTTATCTCCCCCTAGGCCTGGGCTATGATTGCTCCAGAAAGGCAAACGTCTGATTTCAGAAAACACTCTACCGAGAGGGTTGTAAGCAAAGATTTTATGAATCTCACTCACAAACATCATCAGCCGATTAAGGGATGATCTATCTCATACAACTCAGGAATGCCGCAGAAGGCAAAACTGAAATTAAATAAGCAGAATCTATCTCCCACCCTAGGCAGGGCTCTGCAAGCGAGCACACGGGCTGACTCGGCCTCATGGTTTCTGCCCCTCCCAAGTCCCAAGTTTGTAAGGGCAGCACATGGAGCCTGTCAGGCTGAGGGCATGAAGCCCCAACCACCAGCTATACTCCAGATTCCCCAAGTTCTGAACTGGAATTTTGAGGGGACACCACTGTCCCTGCGGAGGGCCCCCCTTGGCCCTGAATGAGCTCTGAAAGTAGCCTGCCTTGCACATTGTAACCTGTGGTCTGAGTGACCACACCAATGACAAGGCAGCCTGACAGAGGAGCTCCCCAGAGACTGTCACCTGGTATTTAGGGAATTAGTTCTTCTTTTAAATGTGTAAAATCAGGGTGATGCCCTACAGCCTTGGCTCTGCCACTTTTCAACCCTCAGTGGCCCCAGAGAATGGCGGCCACAAACCACTGCAGGCTCGGCAAGCAGCGCAGTGCTCCAGGAGGTGCTCAGAGACACGGCCTAGCTCCATGAGCCCTGCTACCATGCCGGCAGGAATCCTGGTCCACCCACAGGAGAGAAACATCCAAGGCCACAGCAAAGGAGTCAGCAGCACTCAGTGCCTTGCTTGGGCCAACATCAGCAGTGTGGGTGGCTCACTGCTGGGCAGGGAATTGATTACAGACACTTTAATCTACTACAGGACATGAATCTCGGGCTCAGCCACTACCTTGAATATTCCTGAGAGTCTTGGAACACCCAGCCAGTCACTACAGCAGCTATCTCCAAGGGACTCCTGCTAGTGCTTTGGGTTTGGCAATGGCCAAACAAAGAGGGAAAACTGCAGCTCCTCCTCCTTCCCATTATGTACTTCCACAACAGGAAACAAAATTAAACACTTATACACGCACATGCAGGCATATTCACACATGCACACCTCAAGATGTACTTGGCCTTCTTGGCTCACAAGTGATGCCGGGCAGAGGCCAGTTGAGTCCTACTCAGAAAGAACCTGAAGGTTCATGAGATTCCCCAGCTAGTTGCTGGCCAGGCTCAGGGAGGGCTGGCTCTGAACAAGTCTAAGCCTCTGTCGGTAGGTTGGGCCCTCCACCTTGCAAGATCCGTGTCACTAATGCAGGGTTACAAACCCCGTTCTGAAGCTTCCTTTAATAAGCAAACTCAGCTTCCCAAGCCTTAGCTCCAAGGGTCTGCATCAGCCCGGACATGTTGGAAAGCACACTGTGTTGCAGCCGGCAAGCAAGGCAGACAAGCCCTGCTGCATCTGGCTGCAGATGCTATTCCTTACCACCACATGCCTGGCACTTGGAGGGCTGCTCTTACCTGGAGTCAGGGTATTTGGTGAGCGTGGCCAGGCTGCTGGTATACATGTGGCCACCCACATCGATGTGCACAGGTGCATTGGACTTGGTCAGCTGAGCTGGCAGTGGGATCCCCTGGGCAGCCAGAGGAGACACCGGCGACCGGGTGAGAGACAGCCGGGACATATTTCCTCCCTCCTGGAGACAGAAACAAGGCAAAAGACACAATAGTTTTTAAACAACACAGCCATGCGCTCCCTTTATTGTGAGTGTGATCACAGATCTAATCAGATCACTTCTGCCTGTGCCTGATCACATATTCAGCTGACAAATTATGGCCACCACTGTAATTAAGTGTATTTGCATCATTTTCTTCAAAGTACCAGGGGGAAAACGAAAGATGCTTATTAGCAATAAGAAATCAAGAAAAAAAATTTTCAAGGTGTCAGCCTCCAGGGGCATAAAACAAACTGCAAAATTCTAATTAAAGGTCGTGGGCTTATGTGTTAGATGTGAAATATCCCCTGACAAACGAATCACCAATTTGTGAATTGGGATTCAGGGGTTTTTGCAAGTTTGTCTCTGTAACAAGACACCTCTAAATTAGTGACTTCCTCAGCACCTAAGGCGTTGGGTTTTATACATGTAGTAAATTTCACATCAAATTAAGAGCATTTTTGTTTCAAAAAAAACCCATAATCACACAGCCAGTCAACAGTCATCTCTTAAGTGCGGGGGATGGAGAAAGGGCGGCCAGCAAGCAGGTATCCCAGAAGAGGGCAAGGAGGGGGCAAACAGCCCGGAAGCAGCCCACCCCACAGGCTCACCGCGGTGCCAGCGCTGCCGTGTGTGTGAAGCGAGGACCCACTCGGCCGCTCCTTACGGTGAGGCATCTAGGCTTCCATCGCTGCCCAGAATATCTGTGGGAGGCAGCGACAAAATCAGAGGGGACTTACTTCTCAGCAGTGGTGGGTGCCAGGTCTTCCCTGGAGTCAAAGATGCTTAGATTTTTTTCCTTTCTTCTTGAGCACTGGGAATCCATGTGCACCAGGCAGCCTTCCCAGATTCCACCCACCACTACACTTGACTCCACACCCCAAAGCAGACCCCCCAGGCATTGCTTACTGTGTGTACACACGCATGCGCGCGCACACGCGCGCGCGCACACACACACACATATGTTTTCTGGGCAGCTCCATGTCTGCTAATTCGGCTAATGACAGTATTGAAACATATGCTCACCATTATTGCCCCAAAATGTTTCAGAACAAATCTGATTTTCCTGGTATTTTGGTTTAGAGCCATGTTACCAAGCGTGTCTCCTCTTGCATCAGTGGAGAACCTTGCGGACTGCAGCTCAGGAAAGATCCCCCACCCTCTAAGGGCCAAGGAGCCAGGACCTCTCTCCACTGTGTCAAGATGCAGTTTGCAAGTGGTAGAGCACAGGAAGCCTCTTTGAGCAGGATCCAAAGCACAGAATTGAGGGAAAGTCACTTAGGAAGCTACCTCTCTGTGGCTGACTCTCTCAACAGCAGAGAAAACCTGTCTTTGTTTGCCTAGTCTGCACTTCCCAGCTTTCCCGCAGACCCTGAGGATGGAGTTGTCTGTGCCTAATGTATTCCAGACCCCCTCAGGATCACACACCCTGGAGGCATTAGAGAGCTGGCCAGACAGCCATCAGCAAATGGAACCTCCCCCCCTTCCCAGAGCTACTTTCTTCAGTGCCACCGCCACCTGAAATAAAACTGCCCCCTCCGTCCCAAAAAGCCACCCCCACGGTACTTTGCAAGGTGCAAACAGGAAGCGTAGAAAGTGGTAGGTTTCTGCATCCCTTTCCACTGACTTGGGTTATCTCAAGGGGAGGGAGGCTTCACACACACACACACACACACACACACACACACACACACACGGCTTCCACAACCTGACCTGGACTTCTCTTTCTCCCTCCTAGGTTTAACCCTTAGAGAGCAACACAGAAAGTGGTAGGTTTCTGCATCCCTTTCCA